GTTTTCCCGGAAATGTTGGCGACGGAAAGCGGGGGGGGGGGAGAGAAAACATTCTCGTCGTACTAGGCTGTAATTGCACGTTTTTGGCCAATTTTTTTTAAAAACATCGAAATTTCCAAACAAAAAGGGCACCTTTGAAGTTAATTTAGTATTTACAGCAACACTAGCTTCCGCAAAAAGGGCGCTTTTGGTCCTTTGAAAAAATGGGGGGGGGGGCATATACCCACTGTGCCCCACCGGTTCCTACGCCCCTGGTGAAAAAAATAATGCACTACTAAATTCAATTCATGACAATAATTAATATCAGTCCAATTAAATTAATAATTATATATGTAAAACCTTAGTCTGGAACTACAAACGACACGTCAGGACAATGATGTTGATCTTGAGCTCAACTTTGCTTAATGACACGAATGTCAAAAAGAATAAATAATGTACATGACATAATTGCATTTAATTATATTCGCTATATGACACACATGCATGCAATATATAGTCATCTAAGTATATGGCTGTTTTCGACGTCATTTCGAATTGCCTATTTAACAGGTAGGCTAAGTCACAGAATTGCCCAGTACTATATAATCCTACGAAATGCGTTTTAAATTACATTCATTGATAGTTAACTTGCACGTGCCTAAAACAATATAATAATATTTCACCTTTCATTCTTGGAAACATTTTTGAATAATAATGTTTAACAAAATGGGGAAATTGGGAAAATTAATTTAAGAAGAACTTAAAGAAGATATGAATTTTGTGTTTTTTTTAAACCTACCGACAATGTTGATTTCAGTGAATTTTTCAAAATACCCCTCCGCACCATTGCCATCGCTGGCTTGAAATATAATTCCATAACCGGTTGTCGAATCGTCAAATGTTGTATTTGGTATGGATATCTCAGCCTTGTCATATGAAAGCTCCATATTAAGCTTTCGCAACCCAAGGGCCAAGTAGTTTGGATTTGAAATTGTTATTCCAGACTGAAGTAGCGCCAAAATTTTGGTTTTTGTGCCACTGTTGTAATTGTATTCATACAAACTAATTTTCCAGTTGTTATTTCCCGATTTGTTGACTTGATATTTCCATTGAAGTTCGAGTTTTTCGCCAAGAATTGTCATCTTGATTGGTTCGGGGTATTCCACCATATTTATATCCCTGGATGTGTTTAAGCTTAGGACTCCTAGAAAAAAAACAACTGAAACGTAAAGTGACTGCCACTCATTTGCATTATCAAAATTACAATATTGTGTTTTTCGCTGTATACCAGTTCATTAAAAGTATTTATTTACCTGAAAAAGCGACGATGAAAAACAACAACATCGCTTCGTTATTTGCATTGTCTGCCATCTTAAAACGCACACGATCTCTAATATGGAATCATCGACGAGTTGTACACATGATAACGAAATATCAATATCCTGCAGTCTCGTTGGCGTTTTAAGCAATATAGCTAATTAAGATTGGGCTGATATCCACATGATGTCTATTGTGTTACAATATCAGTTTCGCTTTATTCAATTGAACTGTTCTTCCAAAGGAAAAAATCCATTAATTCAGTATATACCTACTTAGGTCGCAACATCTTGTTAAAAGGCAAATTCCTTGTTAAAAGGGCAAAAGCTTCAAGCAATATAAATATAGAGGATTAATGCATATCTTCGACATTGCCACACGAACGAAAATGTGCCACATATACCGGGAGAAATGTGGCGTCTTTGAAATTGCCATAATTGCTATAATTTGTAAACAAAGTGGCGGTAATTAATAAAAATTGTTGTGTCACTTTCTAGCATGCATCTATCGGACGAATATTGGCAGATATGAAAATATTGAGGCACCACGAAAGTAGACTTTCATTACTACAGAGCAGCCAAGGCGGTTTGGTTTGCCACGTCGCCGCGTCACGCGAGGGAGGAAAACGGTCCCACGCACCCCTGTCATGCCGGGATTCTCGAGAAACTTTTCGTTCAAGATTTTTTTGCGTCGAAATTAAATTCGTGACGTGCAGGCATCGTTGCATGACATGTACGTATCCATATTATTCCAATCGTGGCCATGCGGTAATCCAATATTTTCACAAGCCTTCTAAGTTTTCAATTATTCCTTGAATATACGTAAAATATAGAGTATAGTGATTCTCTTCTTTTTTAAATAACTTGAAGGGCAAACGAAAAAAACTGCCAGAGTGCCAGCCTTACTGTCACAGCTCAAGTCAACTTAATCAAACTGGACGTCAGCTGAATTTCATTTTTCTTGCTTGCAAAGCTATTGACTGAATATTGAAATTATTCTCATTTTGCATTCAAATCTAAGTTGCTTGCAATTGAATAAAGATGGCGCAACGAATGTGTAAGCATAATTTTTAGTAAATTTCCACTAGAAATTTTGCATCGGAGTTGGTTATTGGTGACTTAATAGAACAATTGCTCTCCAGCCAGCTAACTGGGCTGACTGACACAGACAGCTTTTGTGTGGGAGAAAGGGTTATGGGGATGAAGTACTCCTGTTACAATAAGTGTCACATTATATGTATATTTGACCCAATAGACTCTTTATGTACTATTTAAAACACGAGTAGGAGTGTTTTATCAGATATAAGACGCGAGGCGCAGCCGAGCGTTTTATGTCTGATAAAACACGACAACGATTATTTTGAATAGCTTAAAATACGACTACAAAAGAATACTAATTAGGATGACCCATTATATAATCATATACTAATTAGGATGAACAATTGTATATAATACCTCATGCTTTATCAGATATAAAGTCACTCCACGTGACATATTATGGCCGACATGATTTGCCACAAGGTTTATAAATTATTAATGGCCTTAGTATTTTAAGGCCTTATATTTCATCCTGCGGAGTATATATATGGCCCGCTTTGATAACACTAGGGATAATGCTCCCTTGGGCTAGGGTACTCAGAGGAGATGCAAGAAGGGTAGCGACCCCCTCTGACTGTATTAACCTGAACATGGGCAACGTACAACCATTTGATTTGTGCAAATGTTAAAAAATTGGAAGAATATTTAAATTAAATCCTAAATGTCGAAAAATGCGATTTCAACCGACCGCTTTAAACCAGATCGTATTTTGTCATTTTGTATCGCACATGATTTATTAAAAGTTTCATCTTACAGCTATAAAAGTCTGATCCTTATGGAAACCAAAGCAGAGAACCTATAAACGTAATAATGAAAACACCATCACCAGTTTATGTTTGATTACTTTTATATCCAACATGTGGTTTTAAATATGAGTTATGATTGAAATGATATTGTATTTATCTTTAAAAACCTACTTGAATCCCTTGATAATCGATTATTTCTTCTCTCGAAGTTATGTAAACATTTAAACTCTTGGAGTCATTATACTATCACTCTACATGACGTTTCGCGAAGTAAGATGATCGCTGACAAGTAAGGACGCGGGCGCGGAAAGACGACGGCGGCGAAAGAAGGGAGAATGAAACTAAAGGGTTGAAACATCGGCTCGATGACATTTCTAAATGCCTTAAAATTCACAATTTATTTTTGTTTTCGAAATTTTTTTTGCAGATTCTATGTCTTTTTGGACATATCTTCACAACTGATGTAGTAGATTCAATAAACGATTGATTTTTCATATGTTTTTACATGAAACACTCGAAGGCTTTTTTCGCACAATATGTTCCATAAGTAGGCTGTTCTCGTGACGTCAAGTATAATGAGTCCGAGCCGTTTAATAGGTTTACAGAACTTCGAGAGAAGAAATAATCGATGATCCTTACTTGTCAGCGATCATCTTACTTCCTGAAATGTCATGTAGAGTGATAGTATAATGACTCCAAGCAGTTTAAAATGTTTACAGAACTTCGAGAGAAGAAATAATCGATGATCAAGGGATTCAAGTACGTTTTTAAAAGTAAATACAATATTATTTTAATCCTAACTCACATTGGCGCCCCGTTCGAAATTGCCGGAGAACAACCTATTTATGGAACACATCAAACGATGATCCGCCGATGTTTTAACCCTTTAGTTTAATTATCCCTTCTTTTGCCGCCTTCGTCTTTCCGCGCCCCTGTCCTTACTGGTCAGCGATCATCTTACTTCCTGAAACGTCATGTAGAGTGATAGTATAATGACTCAAGCAGTTTAAAATGTTTACAGAACTTCGAGAGAAGAAATAATCGATTATCAAGGGATTCAAGTAGGTTTTTAAAAATAAATACAATATTATTTCAATCATAACTCATAGTGGACCCCCTGTGTTTCGGAAAGCGTAAAAATACTCGAGATGCAGGCGAGTATGTTTTTACGCTTTCCGAAGGTCGAGCAACATCCCAAGTGCATGGATCACGCTATCCTGCTTGGAAAACCATTTGGTAATTGTTTTATAAAATAACTACAGTAAAACAATTACGTTTTGAGAATCCCGCGAAAATCCCGGGAAGCTAGGCATTTTAGTTCCTCGTGCAGGATAGCCTGATCCTGCACGGCTATTGACCAATCAAATTGCGTGTTTCACTGTAGTTATATAAACAATTTTCTTGCCTGGTTACCAAAATCAGATATTGGTGCTTGCATGGAGAACCATCCTTCCAAGTACAGACTCCCATTGTAATTGTTAACAAACATAAAGATGCTAATTAATAATACCCATGGGATAATCGTTCCATGATTCGCACACCAATATAGTAAACGTTTTGTAATGGATATTATAGCGTACAGAAAACGGTCAGCTGAATACCTCCGTATACATATATACACAGTCTAACCATACCCTAACCTTAAATCTAACGTAACCCTTAGCCCTAACCCTATATACCTATATTGGTGCGCGAAATATGGAACGATAACCCATAATCGGCAAATTCCTGTGGCACACATAATGATTGTATTAAATTTCCAAGATGCTAATTAATATGGGGCTTCCGTGGCGAAGTGGTTAGCGCACTTGCCTTTCACTTCTAAGGTCGCAGGTTCAAATCTTAGTGAGAACTTTCTCAATGCGACTCGGACCCAGTTATCATGCGAAAAGACTTGAAGGACCTGATTTCCTTCCACAGAGTAGGTCGACAGTGTGGGTTAGGTAAAAGGGCCCACCGTAATTTGCATATGCTGTTGTGGTGACCCAGCTCTAGTTGGCAAACCTAATTAATAAATGAATAAATACCAGTTTAAGTTGTTTGCTATGGTGTGCCTAAAACCTTATACATTCTCCATAGCCTAGCTAATAGAGAGTGCAGTCAATAGAGATTAGAGATGGGAGTATTATTAAGGTTCGTGCGGGGGGGGGGGGTATGAGGGCATGAACTTTTAATATAGAATATAGAGTACTGATTACTTTTATGTTATAGTGATATACGTAACTACTGCAAAGGAATTCGTTCCAAATATCAGACATTAATTAAGTGGGTGAATACCTTTGACACAGGGGCGTAACTTTGGTTTCAAGATTAGGAGGTGTAGACTCATTTTACCCGGCAAAAGGGCGAGGTAAAAAAATGCCACTCCCACACTAAGCGTAAGTGTAAAGATTTCGAATCCGGTTTTAAATGCGCAGTAGGAGAGAATCTCTTCGTCGACTAATCTGTTCATCTGTCAGATAAGTCGCTTCTGTGCCCTCCTGCAAGAATAAAGGCGACAAAAAGAGAAAAAATGAAGAGAAATGAATTCGGCTCTGATATAGATCAGCTGATTATGTGGAGATGAAACCGCACAGAGATGAAGCGTAGATTCAGACAATTATATATTGGCGGCACTAGTGGTTTTAGTCATGCAGGTCTTCAACAAATAGAACCATACGTAAAACCCTAACTCCAATTAACATCTAGTTAATATCTCTTTACGTTGCTGCTCTGTAATTAATTAGCGAAATATTTTTTCTGCGACCAATTAGGGATACATCGTGTCTTTGTTCCACTTGATATTCAAACGTTAAGAAGGCGTGGAGTATCATTTTAAGGCGGAGTGAAACCAGCCTACGTTAATAGACCCCATACTAGCACCTCATTAGTATCCTGTTGTAACAATAGGTATTATCCTTAAGTACTTTTTAATAGTAGTGTGAATGCTGTGAAACAAATAGCTAAGTACTGAATAGGATAAAAACTTATAGCTTCCATAATCCTTCGTGAATGTAGCGTGCATGTGGCTCTGGCTAAGCGTTAGCATTATAGGTATGAAAGGTCACTGAGGCAAAGTTACGAAATGAATTCTCTTATTGGCGTCTCCTTTTTGCTCTTATCTTTGCTCCATTTTGCGAAACTGTCGTTTACAGTTGGCTCTATAACTTTTCAGGATTTGGTAAAGATTCTCTTCAAAGTAAAAACGTAACCACTCAGCTGTCAAACCAGACAAAACAACAGGTAAATTTTGCTTAATGTTGCAGAATGTCATTGCTTTTAAA